GCAGCATGGGCCTTTAAATGGCAAGTCGTCTAATCCTAAGTTTACAGCATGGGCCTTTAGATGGCAAGTCGTCTAATCCTAAGTTTACAGCATGAGCCTTTAAATGGCAAGTCGTCTAATCCTAGGTTTGCAGCATGGGCCTTTAAATGGCAAGTTGTCTAATCCTAGGTTTGCAGCATGGGCCTTTAAATGGCAAGTGATCTAATCCTAGGTTTGCAGCGTGGGCCTTTAAATGGCAAGTTGTCTATTCCCGGGATTGCAGCATGGGCCTTTATATGGCAAGTTGTCTATGCCTATTATTGCAGCATGGGCCTTTAAATGGCAAGTTGTCTAATCCTAAATTTGCAGCATGTGCCTTTAAATGGCAAGTCGTCTAATCCTAGGTTTGCAGCATGGGCCTTTAAATGGCAAGTCGTCTAATCCTAGGTTTGCAGCATGAGCCTTTAAATGGCAAGTTGTCTATTCCTAGGAATGCAGCATGGGCCTTTAAATGGCAAGTTGTCTATTCCTAGGAATGCAGCATGGGCCTTTAAATGGCAAGTTGTCTATTCCTATGATTGCAGCAAGGGCCTTTAAATGGCAAGTTGTCTATTCCCAGAATGGCAAGCTACTTATGCGTGGATTGCAGCATGGTAAACTTGCTTGTCTCATTTTTCTCCTAGTAATTTTAATCTTCAGTATGTCAAAGACTGATTCCGTTGAACTTCTGTCTAGGGGTTGATATATATGCACCACCTCCTCTTCCTATCTCCCTCCCTAAATTCACTTCTGATATATACCAGTATACCAGGAATTCATTGCTGTTTTTTTTTTAAAAAAGACTATTTGACAATGAAATTTACTAATTGCATAAATTAAATGGTTGCATTTACTGTGAATAGCACAATGTAATCTGCATTGACTTCAAGCATTGTATAGTAATACTTGTAACACTAAAAGATGAACACCTTTAAGATGCCTCAATGATTTTCTTTTTAAATCAAGCCAACTATAGTTTCACCATGCATTATAGTTAGCATGAATTTGAATCCCCTGATAGATACAACACAAAATCAATTTTAGTTGACAGAAGAGTACTGCATAGAAATCAGGTGTGAATACACTCATAAAAGATGCCTTGCATCAAATTGCAAATACGCTTTTGTAAAAAAATTAATTGACAGAAAGATGGAGAAAATCCGTCACGAAAGATTTTTTTTTCCATAAAAAGATTTCTATCGTCTTTGTGAAGGATATCGTCTAGTCAGGAATTAAATTTGCAATGCTCACAGAGAAGAACATGTCTTTTATGCAGATTCCTGCAAAGCCTTAAATCACAATCACACAATTCAGCATTATTTGTATTCACCTTCCAGCCTTCCTGGACATATGTTTTCATCTTATCCAATTTAGGTGGCTTTATTATATTGATATTGCTTGGGTTAACAGGTTGCTATAGCAACCATATTGCATACAATCTGACGAATGCATACAAAGTGTATGTAAAACTGGTAACAGATTTTTTAATTGGGCAGACTACTGAAAGTGGTAAGCAAAAACTAAATAAAAATTAGAATAAGTAGGATCATAGAATTAAAGAAGTACACACCGTCCATTATTAACAAGGTTTTTTATGATATTGTATGCAATAATGAAAGAGACATAGTCAAACCAATTATTTAAGAGAGCATCCCTGCCCTTTATTAACAACCATACATAGTTACGTCGTCAGTTATAACAACCTAAGAGTCCTCTAAGGATATGATAATGGTCAGTACAAGAATCAACAATGAGTCAAACTAGTCATGCTCATTGTAGAAACAATTCATTACCATTAATGGTTAAAATGAAATTTAGTCCATACCACAAAGCAGACTAAAACAATGTTTTAAAACATCAGCCATATGCTGGGATATAGTCTTTGACTCAGATAACAATGCAGGCATTCTTGGAAGGCCAATTCAGCATGTTATTCAATGAACTAACATGCATCAGAAAAGTATATGAATGATGATCGTGGTCAATCAAACAAGTGAAATTTTTTATTGCTAGTCGATTACAGGTTGCCATCAAATTGTTTGATTATAGCTCGCGCAAATTAAAGCATCTCTAAAATTCAAGTAAAATACACTTTTATTTGAGCTGTAAAATCATCAGCAAATTTGAATACTTATACATACAAGTCATGTACATTTGTATAATATATGTTATGCTCTCTCTGTCATTAGTAAATGTTGTAAATTGTTTTTTTTTCTATTTACTAAAAATCTTGAAATAAATCAGAAAAAATTGATGATGAACATGTACAGTGTATTTAGAAAATGGTGCGTTTTTTTGTTTTCTGTTTTCAACCTCACGTTTCTTCGGTAAACTTCTATAATTCTGAGACTGATAGATATATGTGATTTCAGCAGAGGGGAAGATTTCACTGGGGTTCATAAGACAGGGGACTTGTGTCTATTAGCCACAAGTTATCAAGGCAAACAATTTCATCTATATATTGATTTATCACTTATGTAACGGTTTTATTAAGCTTGTTCAAAGGTATTCAAATTACCAAATAAGGTCAACACAATTATCCCATTTATTTGTTTTACATAATTATTGATTCAGATTAAGTCACAAACTTTTAGGATTTCTTTTACCCAGTACAAAATACTTTTTTTGGAGTAAACATTCTAAAATAGGATGTCTTGGAAGTATTGAATTTATGTTGCAACATTATTTTATAAAAAATAAATAATATTCGTTGAAATTTCCCAATAATTCGGGAAAACTACAAGGATCAATCCTATAACTGTATATTATTTCTTCACTATATAATGTTTATTGTCTTTTAGGCCACCGGCCCATACGACTATACATAACAGAAAAACAAAAGAATACACAAGCACTGGAGAATGTACAGAAATTGTAAAATACATATATATATATATATATATATATATATATATATATAACAAAATTCTTTCTAAGATTGAATGCTTTATGTAGAAATTTACCAAGATTACATAGTACCGTTTGCGGATTTTGAGCGCATTAGACTGTAATATTTTTCTGAATTGGGAAGATGCCAAAAATACTCAGGAATTTACTGTTTCCTCATAGTGAAATAATGGGCAAATAAGAAC